GCAGAGAGTATGGTGGCACACAGGCAGGTGCTGGAACAGAACAGTAGCTACGAACTACATCCTGGTCCCTAGACAGGGTTTCTCTGTGGCTTTGGAGGCTGTCCTGGAACTAGCTCTTGTAGACCAGGCTGGTCTCGAACTCACAGAGATCCGCCTGCCTCTGCCTCTGGAGTGCTGGGATTAAAGGTGTCCACCACCGATTTCAAAGTTCACCCTCAGTGACATACTTTTCCAATGAGGAGAGCCACACCTTCTAATCCTCTTAACCCTTTCAAACAGGGCCGCTCCCTGGTGTCTAAGCCTTCAAATATATGAGCCTGTGGGAGCCATTTGTATTCAAAACACCACGGGGTCCCAGTTTGCTTTCTCTGGGACTATGATAAATACCATGACCAAAGGCAAGTTGGAGAGGAAAGGTTTTTTGTTTGTTTGTTTGTTTGTTTTTCAGCTTACAATCCATCACGAAGTAAGTCAGGACAGAAACTTGAGGCAGGAACATGGATGCAGGAATGGAAACAGAGGGCCTGGAGGATCGCTACTGACTGGCTTGCTCTCTCTAGCTCACATTCTTACACCTCCCAGAACCACTGGCCCAGAAAGCTGGGCCCTCCCACATCAATCATTAATCAAGAAAATACACCCACAGACTTGCCTACAGGTCAATCTGATGGAGGCATTTTCTCAAGTGGAGTTCCCTCTTCCCAGATAACCCTAGTTCGTGTCAAGAAATTAACCAGCACACACATAATAGTAGGGAGAATATGATTAAAAGACTTCACGTGCATGCTTGGCAATGCCAGTATGCAAACCCATTATTTTGTATAATTAATAAACACTAATTGAAAGAAACAAGGCTGGAAGTGTGGATCAGTGGTGGAGTACTTGCCTAACAAGATTCTAAATTCAATCTCAGTACCACAGAGATATACCTATAAAATTTACCAACAAGAACACTTTTTGTTTGTTTTTGTTTTTGTTTTCTGAGACAGGGTTTCTCTGTATTGCTTTGGATCCTGTCCCTAGTGCTGGGATTAAAGGCATGCTCCACCAACACCTGTCTCAACAAGACCACTTTTTTTTTTTTTATTAAATTTGAAACAAGGTTGTTCTACATGTCAATCCCAGTTCCCTCACCCTCCCATCCTCCCCTATCACTCCCACCAAACCCCAGCCCCTCCCCTTTCTGCTCCCCAAGGAGGGTATGGCCTTCCATGGGGAGTCTTCAAAGTTTGTCATATCATTTGGAGCAGGGCCTAGGCCCTCCCCCATGAGTCTAGGCTGAGAAAGTATCCCTCTATGTGGAATGGGCTCCCAAAAGCCATTCAGGATAAATACTGATCCATTACTAAAGGCCCCACAGACTACCCAGTCCTCCTAACTAACACCCACATTCAGGGGGTCTAGGTCAGTCCTATGCTGATTTCCCAGCTATCAGATTGGGGTGCATGAGCTCCCCCTTGTTCAGGTCAGCTGATTCTGTGGGTTTCTCCGTCTGGTCTTGACCCCTTTGCTCATCACTCCTCCCTCTCTGTAACTGGATTCCAGGAGTTCTGCTAGTAATTAGCTGTGGGTGTCTGCTTCTGTTTCCATCAGCTACTAGATGAGGGCTCTAGGATGGCATATAAGGTAGTCATCAACAAGACCACTTTTAAGTGTGTAGTTAAATGGTATTAATGCATTCATAAGTTTGCACAAATACCAAGGCTACCTATCTTCTCTTCCCATCTGTAAAATGAAAATATACTCACCCAACAGCAATTACCAGTTTCCCAGCAATCACCATTCTACTATGTATCTTTGTAATTTTGACCAGAATAAGTAAATCAACCGAACATAGTGAAGGATAGAAGGACAAAGAGCAAAAAATAAAATGAAAATAGAAAAATTAAGAAGCAGCTGGGGGAGGAGGGAAAGAGGGAGGAGGAGAAGGAAGAGGAGGGAGGAGGAGAAAATGCATACAGCATTGAAGCACTCACACCTCTTTCCCAGTACCCCCTTTTTCTTCCTGCTGTGAGTAGCTTCTTTGGACTTGCACTCTACTTCATAGAGTCCCCCTTCATCTGTATACGAAGTCTTGCTAATGATACTCAGTTAGCTCTGGAGTTTGAGTTTTGGGGTTTTCAATTTCTAGAAGGTCCATGGTGGTTCTTTTAAAAAAAAATTCTTAAATGTATACTGTCCAGTGTTGAGAAAATAGAAACTTAGAAGCCCAGTTTCTCCTCTCTGACTTTAGCACAATAAGCCACGTGCTTTAGGGTCTCTGGTTGATAATTCAGGTGTCTGTATTTCCTCTTCCCATCTGTTTTGGGTTGTTTCTCACTCATCATATCTCCTCTCAGGTTTCTTCATCTATGCTCCTGGGCTGGAGAAGTATCTAAATGTTGTTTGCAGAAATAAGCAACAGCTAGGGTAATATTTTTACTGTCCCGAAGAGATTGTGTTTACATTTTCTGGACACACTGAGCTGTGAGCTTTAGAATTTGAGATTTCCTGAGTCTAAGGCCTGCGCCACCCAGATGCTTCTAAGCTGGGCTGCTGCCCATCAGACTGCTGGCTTGCCTTTGTCCATCCCCTCATCCTTTGGGTGCACTCCTCCTTGTTTTCAGTCAAAAGCAGGTGTGGTTGAGTATGATCCACACCCTTGATGGATCCTGGACTCCTATTTGTTTCCTTAACCTAGAAAGATGCCAAAAATGACAGAGTCCCTTCCTGGCCCTTCCTGAAAGGGCGGGATAGCCTGGGTGCCAGGATCTCCTTGCTAGCCTAGCTTCCTCTGGAGAGTCATCACTATGCTTTAGATATTTCCTGCTTCTATGGAGATGGCATTTGTGTTCTGTGGTGAGTTTTTCCTTGTCCTTATTAGGAGGGCTGGTCCTCACTGCATTGCTCATCATCACCGGAAACTTGTCTGCATTTTAATCTAAAGTTTTAAAGGGCTTTCCGTGGTCACTTAAGTTCAATTCTGCATAAAGGGTGTGGTGAGATCTTTCCTCTCTGCAGATCCTGTGTCCAATAGAATTCCCACTGACAGTCAATGCCTGTTGAGTCATGTGCAAAGCTCTGTATCTATAAAGATCTAAGTCTGGGATTCATTTTTGTAACCGACTAAAGTTTGCCTCCTTCCCCTACAGCGGTCAGAATCTTGACTCCAAAGAGAGTGACAGTATTCAGAAGTGGAGCCTTTGGAATGTTGTGATGGTGGGGCTCATGGATGAGGATAGTATCCTTACAAAAGGGGCTCCCCCAGTTCTCCCATCCTCTCATTTTGTGAGGACACGGCCAGCAGATGCCAGTCTGTAAACCAAGAGGAGCCTGACAGGCGCAGTGCTGGCCCCCTGACCTCAGACCCCATCCCCAGAACTGCAAAGAATACTGTCTATTTTCACGAGCCATCTAGCATATTCACGAGCCATCTAGCATATGGAGTTTTTTTTAATGTTTCTTTCTTTATGTATATGGGTGTTTTGTCTACATGTCTGTCTGTGCATCATGTGTATCCAGTGCTTGAAGAGGCCAGAAGAGAGACTTGGATGCCCTGGAACCGGAGTTGCAGATAGTTGTGACCCACAACATGGGTACTGAGAATTGAACCCAGATCCCCTAGAAGAGCAGCATTAGATTTTTATTTGTTTGCTTTGTTAATTAGGGCACGGTTTCTTTGTGTAGCTCTGGCTGTCCTGGAACACGCTCCGTAAACCAGGCTGAACTCGAACTCACAGAGATCTGCCAGCCTCTGCCTCCTGAGTGCTGGGATTACAGACCTGTGCCACCACATGGGTGCAGCATTAGAGCTTAGTCGTGGAACCATCTCTAGCCCTGGAGTTTTAACAGCCTGAATTGATGAAGACGATTCCATTATGTCTTTCTTCCCCACCCTCCATTAATTTTTGTCCTAGGCTATGCCTTACTGACATTTTAATTGCCACAGCCTTATTCTTCTTGTTTGGCTCCTGTGAATCTACTGTGATTAGAAACAGCTGTTATTTATGATGTCAACCTTCATATTCAAGTGATAGCTCCATCCCTCTGACTTTGACATCTCTCAGAAAGTTTTGTAATTTTTCTCATCCTTTATTACGTAGCCTTATGGGATCCTCTTCTTAAAATGGTTTTTAAATTATATGTATCTCTGTGGGTGAAGTCATGTGCACATCCGTGCAGGTGGCCTCTAAGGCCATAGGTGACAGATAAATACCTGGAGCTGGAGTTACAGGTGGTTATGAACTGTCCCAATGTGGGTGCTAGGAATCAAATGTACATCCTCTACAAAAACAATACAAATATAGCCTTTTAACCACTGAGCCATTTCACCAGTCCCAAATATATTTTTTTGTTGTTTCTTTTGTTTTAAGACAAGGTCTTATTATGCCTTGAACTCTCCTGTGTCCCCAGTGCAGGGATTAAAGGCTTGCACCACCATGACCAGTGACATCCTCCCTTGAAAGTAACAGGACTGACTGTATGCACTTGTCAAAATTTGCAAGAAGGGGTAGGTTTTACTGTATATAAATAGTTATATTTTTTTTAAGAAAAGGTTTTGATAGCAGATGATGTATGTGAAAATAGTAATATTTTCTGCCACAGAGAAAGCTAAAAGCACTGGGTTTTTATAACACAGAATTCTCAAATAGAACCTGTCTATCTAGGTCTGGCCATGGTGTGTGTGGGGAGAAGGGGGGTTCTAGGGTACATCCTAAATGCTGGTCTCTATATCTGCTGGGGATGGTTACCCGCTGAGGACATCATTAAGTATATAGACCCAGGTACTGTGGCCTGTACCTGGGGGGAGGTCAGGCATCCTGCCTGGCCTGCTGGCAGTGTGGTCATTTGGCAGTCTTCAGTGTCAGCCTCCACGCGGTTCAGGATCTGTCTACATCCACTAGCTCAAAGTCACCTGCTGGGGGCGCCACAAACGAATCCAGTACCTAGTCACGTGTCCAGGGGGAGGAGGAACACTGTTGCACTTCCTAGTCAGCTGCCTCTTGTAGGGCTGCACCTCCAGCTTCATGGCCGCCCCCACTTCCGCCTCGGGCCCCCTGGGATACCAGCTGCTTCTACTCCTGCTGACTACCCCAACCTGGGTTGCATCAGTCAGTCACCGACACCTTAAAAGCCAGGAAAATTTAGTGATCCATGATGTGGGTAGGTCCCTGTCCCAGAGTCTGGGTGGTGGTCCTTTCTTTGAGCGCTGAACCTCGGCCCTAAGACCCGGCCTAGCCCCTTCCCACGACCTACACGTTGTCCCCTCCCCCTTCCGTGGCCCTCCCCTCCCGTGGGGTGACCTTATGCCCACTCTGCATTTGTTTCTCTCCTCAGCCTGTGGCAAGCCAGTTCTGCAGGGCAAGGTCTTGGGTGGAGTGGCGGCACCCTATCAGAAATGGCCGTGGCAGGTCAGCCTGCATTTCTCTGGCCTTCATGTATGTGGTGGCTCCATCCTCAGTGCCTACTGGGTGCTGACGGCAGCACACTGCTTTGATAGGTGAGAGGTGCAGAAACTGTTAAGGTAATGGGGGAGGGACACAGGACAGGAGAATACAGGAGGGCCCAGGGCTTGGACTGCATCAAGCCCTATCCATGGCTGATAACATTCATTTCCCTGACCCCAGGCTTCAAGCTGCTTCCCACGAACCAGCATAGATTTATCCACCCTGGCTAGTGACTAGGCCAGTACCTAGGTGCACGGCCTGTCCTCTTGAGCTTAACCCTTTTCTACAGACTAAGCTACATCCCTGCCTGAGAAGCTAGTCCTCCACACTAGAGGAGATTTTCTCCTCCACAGCGAGCTCAGAGTGTTGTCTGGGCAAATGGTCCTGTCTCCTGAGCCTCGTCCAGTCAGGCCCACAGCTGTGGTGTACAGGGGCTCATCAGCTGTTCAGTTAGAGGCAAGAGGTCCATGTGCATGGCTATCTGGCTCTCATAGGCACAGTCTCCTGGTGGTCCCCAAGTCTCCATCAGCCCAAGTCAGGACCTCTTTGAGGTCAGATAGTCAGACCCCCATCTGTGGGCTGATAATACAGGGGGCTGCAGGCAGTTGGCCTCTATTCTAGTCAACAGTGGGAAGAAGATTGAAATCTTTGACATATATGTGGGCATCAACAACCTGGAGAAGGCTACCAGATACACCCAGTGGCTGGAGATTGACAAGCTGATCATCCACCCCACCTATGAAATGTTTCACCCTGTTGGAGGGGACGTGGCGCTGTTGCAGTTGAAGAGCCCCATCATATTTTCTGACTTCGTGCGCCCTATTTGCTTGCCACCTTCCAACCTGACCCTCCAGAAATTGTCTTGCTGGGCTACTGGATGGGGAATGGCCTCACAGCAAGGTACGCGCTGAACAAGATCTCATAGAAGTAGAGCGTAGAATGGGTGTCCCTGATGTCTGGGAAGGTGGATAGGAGAAGAACTTAAGCCAAAAGATGCAGACTCTAAGGAAATAATCCTCTGCAAATAAAAAACAGCTACCAGAGATGAAAATTCCATTATAGGGCTTATGGCAGACTAAGGGAGAACCAGATAAGGAGAATTTATCCATACTGAAAATTTGTGTGAAAGGGAAACAAAATAATGTAAAATTGAAACTCTCAGAAGTATGTGGACTGGGCTTCTCTGTGGGGGTGGGGCTTCCCTGTGGGGGTGGGGCTTCCTTGCGGGGGTGGGGCTTCCTTGCGTGTTAGGTGGCTCTTGCATGTGGACAGGACTGCGAGTGGAAATTCCTTCCAGATTTGTCCTTCGTTGACCAAGAACCCAAGAATATCTCTGGCTCCTGTCCCCCAGGAGCTAAGACTTTGCTGGACTCAGACAGGCACCTCACCTGGCACTTCCTCTCCCTGCTCCTCACAGGAGACATCTTGAAACAGCTACAAGAAGTCCAGTTGCCAATAATCCCCATGGAAAAGTGCCAGCTGCTCTATGGATTTACAGCTTACTTCCTGCCAGAAATGTTGTGTGCTGGCGACACCGTGAATGAGAAGAATGTGTGTGAGGTATGTTCCATTCTTTTGGATCAGAATTGGGCTCTGATATAGGTAGGGGACTGCTGGGGTGGCTGTATCCAGGCAGACAGCGTGTGACAATCACACACTCACTTGTGTCTGACCTCAGTGTTGAGGCTCTGGGCTCCATGACAGCCAGAGAGAGAATTTTGTCTGTGTGTGCATGTAGGGTGAGGGATGGGGGTGGGGGTCAGGGGCCTCGCTGCACCTAAAGACCAGACCTGAACTAGCAAATCACAGACAGCCTCTCTTCCTTCACAGGGTGACTCTGGTGGCCCACTGGTATGCGATGTGAACCAAACCTGGGTACAGATTGGAATAGTGAGCTGGGGCCGAGGGTGCACCCAACCCCTGTACCCAGGGGTTTATGCCAGTGTCCCCTATTTTTTGAAATGGATCCATTATTATTTGGAGAGCACACCCATTCCTCCCCTGCCAACCCCCTCCATCGCTTCATCCTCGAGAAGCACCATTAGCATTTTTGTGACCATGCTGACTAGCCTGTTAGTTTGGTGAGAGCCAAGACACTCATCCCCATGGGCTGCCTCATGCCCTGTTCCTGTCCTCTGTAGCTCTCCAGCCCTGCCCATACACACTTGTCCCAGACTCTAAGACTCTAAAAGGTTGAACAAAAGAAGTGAGAGGATCAGAGATGGACCAGGAGAGAGAGCTGGGGGTCAGCTGGGGTGAGCCAAGAGCTTGGGCTCCACACAGTCAAACTTATTAAACATTCATGAAACAAGTGCCTTGGAACTCCTATCCTTGCTTTCCGCTCCAGTCTTATTACATTCCCTGTGCAATGGGTAGGAGTCCACACATAGAAAGGAGGCCATCGGACACATGTCTCACCATGTGAAAAGAGACACACAGGAGAGTAGGGAGATGGCTCGGTGGTTAAGAGCACTGGCTGCTCTTTTACAGGACCCAGGTTCAATTCCCAGCATTCACATGGCAGTTCACAACTGGCTGTAACTCCAGTTTCAGGGGATCTAATGCTCACTTCTGGCATCCACAGAAACCAGGCACATGAGTGACACAGATATACATGTGGGTGTAGCATCTATACACATAAATTGTGGTAAGGTTTGGGGAGTTGGGGAGAGAAAGGTACAAAGCAAACTGAACTTTTTCTAGACACCTGGGCAGGAGTGTGGGCACAGCCCAAGTGAGGGGAAAGGTTACAGAGTCATGGAAATATCCTAAGTGGGGAAGCAGAAAACGTGAGCTGAGAATAAGCAGATGTGGGAAAGAAGCCAAAAGGGTATGTGTAGAAATGAATAAGCAGAAAGCCACACAGCACCAAGTCTTGATATCTGTAGGACCTGTGCCCCAGGTTCTGCCAGCCTTAGATAGAAAATATTCCCCCGAATTTCATCTCTGCCAAACATGAACAGACTCTCCAAACAATGCACCGTAATGGTGATTCACATTGCAACTCCACTGTGTCAGGGGTCACAAGTCACCTAGAGATGGCTTAAAGTATATGGGAGGGACCAGGCACAGTGACACATGCCTATAATTCTGACAGTCAGGATGCTGAAATAGGAGGGTGACAGGTTTGAGGCCAGCCTGGCCTACCTAGAGACAACCTGAAATAGAGGGTAAGAGCTAAAAGAAGGTGTGTGTGTGTATGTATATATATATTTCTATGCAAATAAATGATTAAAAAGTACTTTTACTTAAAAACAAAAACAACTATCTCCAGCAGAGAGAGAACGTTAAAACAAACCAGATTCCACAAACAAGTGGAGATATTTAAGAAAGTGACACCTACCCCCACCTCCGATTAGTAGAAGTCCCTGTGAACAGATTTTCTTGGGAGATGGACTAACCTTCAACTACAGAGATGCCCCAGCACTGCTTGGACTTCTGGGAGTGCAGGTTAGGAGAGCAGCATTCTGCTTGCCACCAGGAGCAGCTTCGGATGAAGATACACTAACATAATCCAATGTGGGGACAGGAGTTCAAGACCCTAATGAGGGGCAGGTGAGATGGTCCAGTGAGGAAAGGTGCTTGCCACCAAACCTAAAGGCCTAAATTCAATCCCAGGGACCTCCAGGGTGGAGACAGTTGACTCCCACAAGATATCCTTTAACTTTTACATGTGCCATTTAGTTCAGGAGCATATACACACATATAAGTAAATAATAAATGTGGTGAAAACTAAATAAAACCCTACAAAAAGATTAACAAATAGAATCCTATTTACTTTTCAAAATAGTGCCCTATGGTCAAATGGGACCTTATCTATTATATGAGATTGATTAAATGTTGGCATTGTCGGCCCACGCCCTTAATCCCAGCACTCATGACACGGAGGCAGGTGGATCTCTGTGAGTTCTAGGCTAGCCTGGGCTACAGAGGGAGTTTCAGGACAGCCAGGGTTATACAAAGAAACACCGTCCTGAAAAAAACTAAAGAAAAAAGTTAGGAAATACATAGATAAAATTCCCATTATCAGTTGCTCTGCTATGGAGAACACCAAGATTTTGACAAATTCAAAAGCCATTCCCATCCTAAAACCAGGTAGAAATATATGAATAGGGAGATGTATGCTTGGATCCCTCAGTTTAAATCTGGCAGAGTGGCATTAGGCTTGCCTTAAGGACTGAAATACAGGGAGGTTGGAGCAGTCCCTGCTCTGCTCCTGAGCCCATCACCAGAGGATCTGTCCCAGGAAATGCAAGGAATGGTTTGAGTCACCTTTTGTAAAAAGGACTTGGAGGAAGGTGAGGATTTACCATGGTCACTACCACTCACTTGCTAAGAGGAACTTCAAAAGTACCTGTGCCTCAGTAGAAAGCACACACTAGCAGTGACGACCAGAACAAGACTCCATGAGCATGGGCTGTGGAAGCTGAGGAATCTCTCAAACGCCACCTCAGACGGAGTTGTCTTCCAAAGCATACGTGTTTCTTTGGCTCACAGTCCAGAGCATGGTGCTAGTACCGCATTGTGGCACAGCAGCATGTCACAGAGTACTGCCCATCAGTCACCCTCTCCTTAGCCCACAAATCTAGAAGTTCACGAGTGATTAATCTACCATCAGAGGAGTTCCTCAGCACCTAGGCATCTCTACATTTAACTGACTTACGGCTTAGGGATTAAGTGTATGACACATGGATATGGAGGACATAGTCAAGCCCTAGTACTCCTAAAAACAGCAAATAAGCAAAGAAAAAGTAGACTTGAGGCTAGGGATATAGTTACTTATATACTTGTCTAACATGTATGAGGCCTAGGGGTGGATCCCCAGCACCATATAAATCAGGTATGGTGCCATACTCCTGTGGTCTCAGTGCTTGGAAGGTGGAGATGGAAGGATCAGGAGTTCAAGGTCACCCTTGGCTTGAACTTAAAAAAAAAAGATTTATTTATTATATATACAGTGTTCCACCTCCATGTATGCCTGTATGCCAGAAGCGAGGCATGGTAGTATAAGCATGTAATCTCATCACTTAGAAGGCGGAGGCAGAAGGATTATGAGTTTGAGGTTAACTTGAGTTACATTATAATATCCTTTGAAAGAAAACAAAAATTATAAATGCTGTAAAAGGATTCATAAAATTGCCACATGCGAGGTAGTCATATTGGAAAGATAAGAATTAACTAGGATGACTAGCTTCTGCTGTCCTAGATCTCACATCCTGGCATAAAACTGGAAGGACGCTCCACTGTGGTCTCTGTGGTGTTTGCATTATTTCTATTAATAAAATATACATTTGTTTTAGCAGCAATTGTTTAAAAGCAACTGTGAACACATTGGGCTTCTTTTCCCAGCCTACATCCTTTAACATTCGGAGGCAGCAGGGACCACACAGGCCCCAATTCAGAGACAGGTACTATAGGCAAACACAGCAGTTACACCAAGAACCTGTCCAGTATGAGGCTGACAATGTAGCGTGCGCAGGGTGGACACTCCCACCCATCCCTGTCTGGATGTAATGACATGAGCCAGACTCTTTTCAGTCCCTGTACCAGGTCTCTCCAGGAGATGAAGGCTGAGGAAGATGCCTGCTCTAAACAAACCAGTTATGACTCTGCTGTTGTCACCAAGTTCACAGTTTCTAGTGAAACCACACAAAGGATTTCAGGAGTCGTTCATACTCACTTCCTGAAATAACAATATTTAAGGAACAAAGAAGGTTCTCACACCAAGTCCTTGACCATCATGTAGGATAAGGAGTGAATGCTTAAAATGTGTATCATAAGAGATCACATTGGTATATTGTGTGCATGTGTATGTGTTTGTGAGGAGGTATGCATATGTGCACACGCATACGGAAGCCACAAGACAACCTCGTGTCACTCCATAGGGACCAAACACTTTGCCTTTTTGGTTTTGTTTGTTTTTTGTTGTCTGGCTGTTTTAGTTTTTTGAGACAGGGTTTATCTGTGTAGTTCTGCTGTCCTGGAACTCACTCTGTAGACCAGGCTGGCCTCGAACTAACAAAGATTCTCCTGCCTCTGCCTCCTAAGTGCTAAGATTAAAGAAGTGCACCACCTGACTTGTTTGTAAATGTTTTGTCTGCATGTATGTCTGTGCACCACATGCATGCCTGGTGTCTGCAAAGGCCAGAAGAAGGCATTAAGATGGTGTGAGTACCAGGAATAGAACCCAGGTCCCCTTAGCCACGTTGCGGGTCTTTCACTGGCCTGGAGCTCACTCAGTCAGCTAGTCTAGCTTGTCAGCCATCTCCAGGGAGCCTTCCATTTCTGTGTCCCCAGAGCTGAGGTTCAAGCACATGCCATCATGCTGGCTTATTTTACATGGTCCTGGAGATAAACACAGGTCCTTATGCCTTACATAGCAGCACTTTACTGACTGATCCATCTCCCCAGCCTTTGGTGTCTTTCTTCTTCTTCTTCTTCTTCTTCTTCTTCTTCTTCTTCTTCTTCTTCTTCTTCTTCTTCTTCTTCTTCTTCTTCTTCTTCTTCTTTAGTTCATTAAATCGCATTTCAGTTTATTTACAGTTTTAGAGATCCAATTTTTCTATTTTTTTCCCAGTTGTCATGATAGTACACACTTTTGAATATGATGTGCTGTTTCAGTGCATGCAGACTCTGAGCAAAGTGAGGGTGTATCTCCTTCCCCTCAAGCATGGTGGGCCCCCACCTTTCTTCTCCTGTCCCTCAGCCTGTAGTGTTTGCACATGAAAACCCTCATGGTACATTAGGGCTGATGCATGCATTTTCCAAGCTCCTGAGCATGCCTTCTCGTTTGTAGCTCCCAATTTGTGGTTTTCCTCCTAAGACACCAGAGCTTGCTGCTTCCTGGCATCCTGACATCTCCTGCCACAAGAGGGCAATTCTCTGGCATCCGAGAGTGGCACTGCCCTGGATCCTAGGCCATATGAGGCGGCTTCTGCCAGGGCTCCACCTCCACCCCAGAATGTTTGGAGCAGGGACCTGCTCAGGAGGAAGAGGCACGGTTGTGATGTCTCTGTTGGGGTGCTGAGGTTGCTTGTGGAGATGGCAGATTGAAACCAGGGACTCATTAGCAGAGTGAGAACAGGTGTCACGATGGTCCAGACCGTAGGGTCACAGGATCATCTATGCTGGGGATGCCATGAGCTGCTTCACGCAGCAG